CCTGGTCTGGACAATACACGAACTTCGCTAGTTTCGTACCTCTCCAACAAAAACGGAATCTAGTCAGGTGTTTGGCACAAAGGGCTAGAAAAATTTGTTCGACAGATAGTATCGAGGAGGAACTTAGAAAAATCCAGGACTTACTTTGCGAAAATGGGTACCCTGACAGGTTCATTGCAAAGAACCTTGCCGAACGACCTGCAAAACCCACCACACTAACCGCCGAAAAGAAAACGTTGTTCCTCAAAGTCCCCTTCCAAGAAGACGCTGCAGGTGAACTCCTAAGAAGACGCCTTGACCAAGCTGTCTCGGGAACCTTCCCAGCGGCAAGGGTTCGCATATCTTTCTCCACTAACCCTATTTTACGCGGAGAAGGCAAGGATAGGCTGCCACCTCAGACCGCCTCAATGTGCATCTACTCATTCACTTGCTCCTGCGGAGCAGGTTATATTGGTCGTACGAGTCGGCGCCTTTCCAAAAGAATACGAGAGCACCTTCCCGCATGGCTGGCAAAGGGTGAAACTAGGAGAATAGGCAGCGCCATCCTTGCGCATGCAGTGGACTCAGGGCATCGTGTGGACTCCACCGAAGCAGTTCGTGTGATTTACAAGGTCCCCTCGAGCTACCCTAAGCTACTGGGCCAGCGCCTGTTAGCAACAGCAGAAGCGGCCGCCATAAGGTTACGAAAACCGACCCTATGCGCCCAAAAGAACCTTGTTCAGGCTCCGCGCTTATCGTGGTCAAAGGTTGACTAACCACGTACAACTTTCGGCGCCCTTCCGCTCTTGCCGAGCCTGTAATTTAAAACATAACTTTTATCGATTTTTGTTTCACTCACTGTACCCCGCCCTATGTAACTGTATTGGCCTGATGAGAATTTACCGAAAGGAACGTTCACTCGCCACTCTCTCTTCTAAATATAAATTAACGGAGCATTCTTAGACGGATGTGTTAGTTAGCCGTTCCATGGCGCTGGTGGGATTCATCGATCAGTGACGATCTGGCACGGCTTTGTCGGTGGACACTACAACACTGCATTGTTTCAGCTTGTAGAAGTATATATTAGCTAACGTTAGGTTGTCAGGCCGTGTTCGCGCGAGAAGAATTGCGTTTGGCCATTCTTCCACTGAACGACTGAAAGAACATAAATCTTTTAAAAACAGATGGGCGCCCACACCTGTAACTACCCCTGGCGACATCACAAATATTTAAAATGGGTAGTCCGACACTTAATGCAGTCGACAAGTTTTCGACGTATGTATTACATCTCATTTACTTCAACGTGACTTAAAACCAAAAAGGCTTTGCTGACCACTGGGGTTAGGAAACCTTGCTCAATTGTTTTCTCATTCTAATGACTTGGATTTTCGTATTTCTGTAGAAGGGATGCACGGTCTAGCTTCGGACTGACTGACGAATGGGGCCGGGATTATGGTTAGGTACAGGAGCTAATTCAGGACTGGGCTTGTACTAGCAATAGCATGGCTGGTGCTGGAGTTTGAAGCAGATTCACCCAGATCTAACCGTAACCACCTGCTCATAATCATAATCTTAGTAGAAACATGGCAACAGTCGAAACCGCATTCACCGCCTCGGTCTGATTAAAACACATATGCTTTCCCGCGAAATGCTATAAATCACAACTTTTAATGCAAAGGCACATATAGAAGGAACAACGTAAATGTTTGCTAATGTGCATGCAAATATGCGTCTGCCACTGATTTCTTCCATAAATTTGTATGCATTGTATTAATCAGTGCCAGGCCTTACCAAATCATACTCATTGAGTGAGTGTGCAAACAGCCCGGATCAAATTTCCTACAAAACGATTACTACCAGCAACTGTCTTTTTAAGTAATTACAACTAGAGGACAAACCAGTGCTTTTTCACGTGAGAGATTTGGCTGATGATGTGACTACCTAGTCCAATCGCCTGTTTCCCTTTCAAACTCCCATCCGTCCCCAAAAGATACCTTTTACCACTGAACTCCGCGGCAAATGAATGCAGAAGTCATGAGTGAATGCATGAAGGCATTCACTGAAGCATAAGTTTTAGATAAATTTCTCACCAGGAGTGGATTCTATGTTACCTCGAATTCACATCCTTTTCCTAGTCACACCTTATTAACATCCTCTGTCATTACAGAAATTCTCAGGAGAATGACTGTAAATGTTCAGCGGAAACTACCGACGCCAGGACGTTAGCTAAACGGCAACGCATAAATTGTCATTGGTTTCCGTGGGTCAGTCGACGGGTTAATCAAAAATATCTACCAAACTTCGCCCTTCGGAATTTCAAAAAGAAGCTAAAACATTCAGTGCATCGCAGTCATTAATAGGAGGACAGAGCCATCTAACATGTCCAGTAAAGTATGTTCAAGAGTCCGACTAGATTCCTCGGAACAACGACCTAGTTGATGTACCTTTAAGTGCTGTTGGTTCCAACGCAAACGATTTGAAGATTGATAGCACACTGCCTAAAACTAGCTTTGATGATACTGTGGGGAGATGGTTCCGATCCTTGAAGCTGACGCGGTTATTCGTCACATCAAAGATTACGCAACGGTAATACTTGGCTCGAAGGCCTGAAATCGCGCCTAGATTAAAACTATCGCAGCACCTATCACTTGAGGTTGTGTCTGAAATCCTAAGCAAGTTTGGCTCGCACGCAGCTTAAATGTTTTCTATGGAACCAAATCCAACTTAAACCTCACCATGATTGTATTCCCAACAATCCCGTTAGACCGTTCAGCTCGCTGTATGCAAATGTGTAATTTGAGACAGAAAATGTGGTAACGCAACGGCACCAACCTACCTCGGCTTAGAATAGCCTTCAAAAATGTCTAGCATAAAGAATTATAGCTAAAACTGAAATTTGGAAACTCTCCTGCATTATTACTTGGTTAAATTTTCTAGGAAGTCAAAATGTTAAAAACCGTACTTAACTATAGTCAGCCATATAACGACAGCAGATAGAGCAGACCTGATGCCGTCCATTCGGATTCAAAATTCGAAATTACGGAAGATCACATTTTGCAATTCGAGAACCTCTGATGTGGACCCAAGACATTTAGTCGTTGAACACTTAAGTCAAGCCGGAGTAAAGGTCCCTGGCTAGCGTTTGTGGCCAGGAATTCTCCAAAACATAGGAAAAGGCATTCAATGCTTTGTCGTTGTCGCGGAACGATCGCTAAAAAGTATTCGCAATTAGTCCAGCCACCGTCCTTTCGACGTTTTCCAATGGGGTCGGAACACACCAGGAGACGGTCGAGGTAAAGGAGTTATAAGTCTTATCAACGGGAGAGTGCGTGACAGTTAAAATCTACTTTCCTAACTCGAAGATGACATAAACGCAATGTGCCACTTTCTCCAAATCTCGCATTACGTGCATTAATCTTGTTAGCGACTCTGGCGCTCCCTCAACCGCCAGAGAGGCTCCAACTCTCTTCTGGCAGGGTATTGAATCTGTTGATATGGACTAACGTCAGGAAATTCAATTCATGAGTGGTGCTCACTTTCCGAGCCAGGGCGCGGATAGATCAAAACCCTAGTCTCGTGATGTGCAGCTCTTTTAGATTAGAACAAATAACGAGTAGAAGAAAGCTTTTTTTCATAATTTGAGGTAAAAGTATCCATGATTAGTGAACATGTCAAGGTATAGAGGTTAGGCGTCCTCATCAGCCCAGTCGTCGCCCTCATCGTTTCCCTCATCACTGTTTGAACCGGAGTCCTCTTTCGAGCCGCCACCCAACTCCGCATGAGCGGCCTTCCAGGCCTCTTCTTCGTCTGCTGTAGGGTCTTCCATTTCTGTGGTTTCAGGTCCAGAGGGAAACTCCTCCATCACGTCTGGGTGAAGTGCGGGCTCAAAGTTTGAAATAATATACTTCTGTCCCCAGCCAATGTAGAAATTCAAAAAGCTCCTGTAAAAACGAAACAGAAGTATAAGCAAGCAGTTTTGTGATAGAGCATCATGGAAGAGGACAATTCAGAATGGCGTAAGAGATAGGGCAGGAGTTTTTCTGGTGTTCGCAAATGCCAAGTAAGCCAGCTAGCCTCTGTGAAGAAAAGTATAAACTTACAATGCGACTGCGATGAATCATAAAGTGGGTCTTTGGACGCGGGTTACCATATGCAATACACATATGTTGTTGGATCAGAGGCCGAACTGGTAGTTCTAAATTATCACGACCATAAACTCCACATACGAATGTTGATGCAACTTCCACATAGGATAGACCAAGAGGTAAACACAACAAGCCATTTCTGTTGTACTATGCGCTGTAACTTCTTTTGTTTGGTTTATTGTTTGTAAGACTGCGGCTTTCATCTACATAAACGCATAATTTATGGAACAAATGTCACACAATTTTAAGCTCAGGAAGTTTGCTGGGTGAAACAGCCTAAACGGCGCTCAACGGTGGCAAAAGGGTTGATATCAGGCGAGCTTGGCGGCTCAATGTCAGGAGTAGCGTGATCTTGATCCTTCTCATGCAGCCTGCAAAAGCACCCGGTCAACATTTTTTACGATCATGGCAAACCTGACAACTGACGTGCTCAATCAGTGTGTATAGTCATTTCAGAAGATGCATCGATGCTGTAATTAAGGCGAAAGACGGTTTTGCTGAAATATCTTTTACGTTGTATATGCGGGAACATGTGTACTGAATTTAATGAGTGTATGTCGGCATCTCTACCAAATATTTTGTTTTTCTCAAACAGCCGACATACCCCGTACTGCGTAACTAATGCACAGACTGGAATATGCTGCTAAGAAACATAAATTTATGAGACAGGAGATACCAGAAAGGACGTTTCTGGGTGATTGGATCTCACCAGTCAGCCAAACATCAACCCTAAGCTCTTTGTGGAAACTCCTGACCAAAGCCCGCCACCGCACGTCTGACAACCAGAGTAGATGGGTGCAACTTAGTCCGTTGTCACCTTTTGATCAAATTGTTGAGAGAGCCGTCCCTAGAAGCCGAGGATTTCAAGCAAGGTCAGTTGGTTTCCTTGTCGCAGAATGTCATAGAAAAGTCATTTTTGCTCTCTCACGTCGATTTTCTTGACAGTGAGGATGTGAATCTTATCTGCTGGGGCAGCCGCTCGCAGTACCCCGTCTGACAGCGTCCCGTCGATAACAAGTAAGGATTGGGTGGATCCGATCTGAGTGATTGACACATCCCCAGCAACTTTTGCAGGACAGTGTCAAGGGAGCCGCTTATAGCCTATTAACCAAGTCCGGAAGGAACGGCGAATTCGACAAATACTCACTGTTCAAATCCAATAGCATAAGCGCCTGGCCAGAGGTTGGAGGAGAGCACAGCCATGGCAAATTGCGGAAGACGAGAGGAGGTCAGTTTGGCAGACCATGGAGGTATTCCACTGGGATCCTGGTCTTCTGCTATCGGCGTCAGTAATGGGGGTCCGGTCTCGGGCTCTGGAAGGTCAATTTCTTCCGCCTTCGAGCTAGCCTCAGAGTCCTCGCTATCGCTTTCATCCTTCTGGATCACGTTTATCCTACAATTGCAAAATAAGTCTATGCACTGGAAGCAGATTGACAGATACTGAGCTTGCGAAAAGCCCACAAATGTGTTCGTCTTTTATGGTTTCATGGACGCTTTTATCCCAAGACCTCTGACTCTGACAGACATCAACGGTTTCTAAAAAAAACACTTGAGTTAAACAAAGGCGATTCCAAATGCTTGGAACAACCGTAAAACGCTCCATCAATGGTCGTTAAAAAAGAAATTCAAATAGTACCGGTTCGTTGTCTGCACGACTCACCTTCCTACAGCCTAGCAAATCTGCTTTCTGAAAATCGAAAGATGAACGCTTCACCTGGGATTGAAATATATGCTATTCCATGGCTTCTGAACGGACATTAATATTCTGACAGAGTGTGAGATGCGTTGATCGCTCCTCGCTATCAACCTGTTTTTTCATAATATTTATAGAGAAATGTGCCCATCATCCACCGCATTCAAGCCGTTTTCATAGAATACTTCCAATGTCGCCGAGCCAACACATCATCTGCTCTCATAAACGGTGACGGACGCTTTGGCTCTGCCTAACGGCCATACCCCAATAATCACCACGACAGGAGGGCTAAACCAGACAAGGGTATCTTGTACATGGGCGTGTGTGTTTAGTGTGGGTCCCACGTCAATCTTTAAAGTCCTCATTGCGGCCATACCTTTAGATCAGGTATCTGAACCTCCAAGCCGATTCTGACCAGAAAGCCACTGCACATGCACATCACGCATCGGCCTAGTCGGCCACCTGGAAATCCATCGCACAGAAGTCGACAAACCATTGCCAGGAACATAAACACAGACCCGTCGCCATCGCCTCAACTGCTCGCACGGCCGATGCACATTCAGGCAACGCATGGGCTAATCTGACGACATGCTCCTCCATGTCAATATGCGATAAAACATCCTAGACCAAACCCTCACCACCAGATATCTCCCAAAAATGCGTACTTAACATTATCTTAAACAGGCGCGGAATAGGCACCTCACACGTAGGGGGGAGTCATGTCGTTCGGACTCCTCTCCGTGTGGCTTCAATGACACTCTGCCGCATTTGAGACCTGAGACACACTCACCCTTTCCGTGAACTATATAAGGGCCGGTATGGAGCGTAGTTGTTGATCCACGTGACGGTGGTAATAAGTCGTCCACTTGCTTGCAGGTGCAGAATAAGTCGACCGCCTATCAACCGGCACCAAATTCTTAACCGTTGTTCCTGTATGCCAGGCTCCGTTTAGCGACCGTATCCCGGCAACCGCCTCGAACGGCGGGCTAAGCTAGGTGAGGGTGTGTGTATCTCCACACACGGTAACTCGGCTCGGCTCCCATCATCGTTGGCCGGATTTACCACCGCCACGGCTTCTCCGAGATGTGCCTCCGTCTGCAACCCCCCAGGAGGCCAAAAGAGCTCAGCAAGCTACTGAACACGTGGCTGGAAGACCGCCCCATTCTTCTCTTTCTCGCCAATTCCCTGCCCTTCTCCTCTGCCCCTCACATCCTCTTCTCTACTCTTCTACCCCACGGTCGAAAGTTTCACGGATCACCGCATCGCTACTTCCAAGATGAAGCTTCGTCTGCAACCCTACAAGAGGCCACAAGGTAAGTAACCCCCCCCCCCAGGTAAGCCAGATATGGGTTTGTTGTCTTTGCTTTCTGCTTGTTTTCGCTCGTTTGTCCTTGTCCGCTTGCTTGTGTTTGTCCTTGTTGTAAGCTTATCATCTCTCTATTGAACTTGTCTACTCACCATGTATTTTTCATCCGCCGGAGGGACGGGAAACTCTGCCCCTCCCCAGCCCCTCCACAACACTCAAAAGTCCGACGGCGAGGGTAACAGCGATCTTATAAGCGACTCAGGCTAACTCGGATCGTTCTGCCACTAAACAAAGTCGTGGCAGCCGTCTGGGATGGCTAAGCCGCCAAATTTAGGGCCGCGAAGGGAACGGAAATAGAAGGGGTGTCCAAAACAAACGGAGGACAGCGCTATGGGCTCGGGAACTGGCGCCCTACAAGGTGGACATCACTGCACCCCGTGGGACCTGGTTCTCTGAACAAGGCCAACTGGAGGAGGTGGATACCGGCTACACCTTCTTCTGGGGCAGTCGTCCCAGGGGCAGAGCGACGGGACGCAGGCGTTGCCTTTGCCGTCCGGAACGACATGGCGGGACGACTGCTCTGTCTGCCGCAGGGCATCAACGATCGTCTGATGAGCCTCCGTCTGCCTCTCCATGCAGGCAAACTCGTCCCCATCTTCAGTGTCTATGCTCCCACGATGACCAGTCTCGATTTTACGCGGACCTGCCCGACCTCCTGGCGACTGCCCCGAAGGCGAATAAGTTGAGCGTCCTTGGTGACTTCGACGCCCGAGTCAGCACAGGCCATGCTGCCTGGAGAAGAGTGTTGGGTCCCCATGGTCTCGACGGCTCCAATGACAATGGCCTACCACGAACCTGCGCAGAACACCAGTTCCTCCTGAGCAACACCTACTTCCGCCTTCCGATGCGAGAGAAGGCCACTTGGATGCACCCTCGATCGCGGCAGTGACATCTACTGGTACATGTCCTCGTCCGAAGGCCAGACCAGTGGGCGATCCCGGATGGCGACCGGTGGACCAACCATCGTCCCACCATATCCAAAATGCGCATTTGCCTACAGCCTCGTAGGAGACCTCAAGGTTATCGACCCCTAGGTAAGTTGACCATTGCTTTGCTCTCCTTGCCCGTTCACCATCTCCACTTCAGCAATGAACTAGCTTTAAGGGCAGTCAAACTTCCAGTCGCCGCCACCACCGAGGAGAACGCCTCCGTTGAGAACCTACAGTGCCAACTGCGGGACACACTCCAGTCGACGGCCCTGGCTGTCCTCGGTCGTGCATGGCGCCAACACCAGGACTGGCTCGATGGCGATGACGCCGCCACTAGCAACCTATTCGCCGAGGTGAGCCGACTGCACAAAACCTACGTCGACCGCTCGATCGACGACAACAGAACGGCCTTCTACCTTATTCGCAGTCTTGTGCAACCGCGACTGCGGGAGATGCAAGACGCCTGGACGGCTTGCAAGGCCAAAGAGATCCAAGGTTACGCGTACCGAAACGTATGGAAGAACTTCTCTGCGATCAAGGCTTTATACGGTCCCACAACCAAAGGCACTGCTCCTCTTCTCAGCGCCGACGGAACCACCCTACTCACGGAAAAGACAAAAATTCTGCAGCGGTGGGCCGAACACTTCTGAGCCATCTTCAACCGTCCCTTCAGCATTTCCGACGCCGCCATCACTTGTCTGCCTTAAGTGGAGACCAACGACGACCTCGACCTCCAGCTCTCTCTCCACGAAACCATAAGGCCGTGCAGCAGCTTTCCAGTGGGAAAGCGCCCGGATAGGACACGATCTCTGCTGAGATCTGCAAGCATGGTGTCCCCCAACTCATGGATCATCTGACTGCGCTCTTCCAGTAAATGTGGCGCCAAGAGGTCCCGCAGGATTTTAAAGACGCCACAGTCGTGCACCTATACAAACGGAAAGGGAACCACCAGCCCTGTGAAAATCATGGAGGCATCTCCTTGCTGAACACCGCCGGGAACATCTTCACTGTCATTCTTCTCAACCGTCTGAAACAATGTCTTCTGCCAGAAAGCCAGTCCGGCTTCCGCCGTTATAGTGGAACCACCGACAGGATCCTCGCCGCCCGTCAACTGCAGGAGATGCGGACTCACCTGTACTCTACCTTCGTGGACCTGAAGAAAGCCTTCGACACGGTGAATCGTGAAGGACTGTGGAAGATCATGCAGAAATTCGGCTGGCCCGAACGATTCACTCAGATGGTGCGCCAGCTCCACAACGGCATGATGGCGCGAGTCACGGACAATGAAGCTGTCACAGAGGCATTCGCAGTGACCAACGAAGCGAAGCAGGGCTGTGTCCTCGTCTCATGTTCTCTGCAAAGCTGAAGGACATCTACTGCGACGAACGCCCTAGTATCCGCATGGCCTACAGGACGGATGACCACCTCCTCAATCAGCGGCGGATGCACTTCCGGTCGCGTGTTTTCCCAACCACAGTCCATGAACTTCTTTTCGTCGAAGACTGCGCCCTCAATGCCACCTCCGAAGGGGACATGCAAAGGAGCATGGATCTCTTCGCCGCCGCCTGTGACTTCTTCGGCCTGATCATCAACACGGAGAAGACGGTGTTTATGCATTAACCGCCGATGGTGTCTACATCGCACCCCATATAAACATGAACGGCGCCCATCTGCAAGTCCTGAATAGCTTCATCTACCTGGGCAGCACCCCCTTCCGCACCACCAAGATCGACGATGAAGTGGCTTACCGGATCTCCAAAGTGAGCCAAGCCTTCGGTCGTCTGCAAAGCACCGTCCGGAATCGCCACGGTCTCGACCTCGGCACCAAACTGAAAATGTGCAAAGTGGTTATCTTGCCGACCCCACTGTATGTAGCAGAGACCTGGATGGTGTGCAAGAAGGAGGCACGAAGACTCAACCACTTCTACCTCAGCCGTTTTCGAAGGATATTGAAGCTGAAGTGGCGGGACCGGATCCCGGACATGAACGTACTGGAACGGATGGGGATCGCCGGCATCTGCGCCATGCTGAGGCAACTGAAACTGACTTGGAGCGGCCATCTCGTGCGGATGGACGACAAGCGGCTACCCAAAATACTCTTCTACGGAGATGTCGCCACGGGTTTACACCGACAAGTAGATCGAGTCCGGCGCTACAAGGACGTCCCGAAGACTTCCCTGAGACGCCTGCAAATAAATCCCACCAACTGGGAAGACATCGCCCGAGACCGACCAACCTGGTGGAGTGCAGTGGAGACAGACGCAGCGATCTACGAAACCAACCGCACCACCGCCTCCAAAGCCAAACGTAAAGCTCGTAGACCTCAAATACCCTCTCCTCATAACGTCAACAATCAACCACCCCCGACCTGCTCACGTCGCCGCGGACATTCCGGGGCACCAATCAGTCTCATTAGACATCTTCAAACCAACTGCAACACCCGGACGGCACCTCATGATGCCCCGCCGCAAACCTCCGCCTCGCCCCCACGCCGACAATCAACACTGGCCGCACTCCTGAACCCCCACCGCTATCCATCGCCTCAACATCCGCTGCGACGGCTCCTGCACCCACCACCACTGCACTCAATCCAGACAACCGCCAAACCCACCACCACCAAAGTGCGCGATTTAAACTCGGCTCATGCCTGTCCTCATTGCGATCGCATTTTCACTTCACACATCGGCATGATCGGTCACTTGCGAATCCATCGCACACAGGCTGGCGAACAAGTACTTGGAGCACTAACCAACACGCTGCATCCGCCTAAACGGCCTTCACTGCACCCGCGCACTCACTCGCCGCATGGTCCTTCTAGGTTGCGTGCGTATCCACGAGAGCGGTATTCACTCCAGCCTCGAAACACCCAGTGCATCCTGCACATCCACTATGTCTAATCCAACATACACCGTCGCCCAGCGCGCCCACCACCAGCAGCTCCATCACTGATACCATCTCCGAAGCCGACACTGATACCGCTATCTTTTCATGTCCACACTGTCTCCGTACATTCACCTCAAACATCAGCCTGGTCGGTCGCCTTAACTGTCCTCACTGCACCCGCACATTCACATACCGCATGGACCTATTAGGCCGTATGCGTATCCACGAGAACCTGCGGTAGACAACCGTCGGCTGCACTACACCATCACATCTTCCCCCACCCACATCACACAACATCATCACACCACAATCATCCAACCGCCAGTTTTAACGCTAGTGGATAGTGTGTGTTTCAACTCTGTCTCCAAGCGGCTTCTCTGCTGAATGTGTAATCCGAGTCTGAGATTAACACGGTTTATCAGGCATCGTTGCCTACTGATTGACGCATTAACTCAGTCCACGCAGGCTGTCCGGTTGTGTGAGTGTTTGTGTGGAGCGACAGACTTGTGGGCCGAGTGCCAGTCCGAAACAGCTCCTCCCTAACATGACCTACGGCACTCTAACGCAGCTGAGATGTACGCCATCCGAATCACGTTGTGTGTGTGTTTGTGGTTAGAGGGGTCAAGTCGTGCACGTGGCATGAGCAGACAAGGCCATTAGATATGCAAGCCAACATAACATTGTCACCCATCACAATCATCCAACTACCAGTCCCAACGCTAGTGGAAAGTGTGCTATTTGACTCTGTCTCCAAGCGGCTTCTCTGCTGCACATTCACCTGCGCATGAGCCTGTTAGTCCACATGCGCATTCATTAAAACCTGTAGTAGTCAACCGCCGACTACGCCACGCCACCACATCCTCCCCCACCAACACCCGACACCACACCCACCGCAAACACCCAACTGCCGCCTTCCACAAAAGTTAGAGGAGCGCGTCTCGGCTACGTCTCTATGTTGCTCTTTCGTTGCATGTGTGATTTAAGTCTGAGACTATCACAGTGCGCCCAGCGCTGTGAACTGGAAGGCTGCCGTCTGACGCCCCAACTCAGACCACGCAGTTTGACCAATTGCTTGTGTTTGTGTCGTATTGCCCAAATACCCGGCCAAAATAATACTCACAGTGCTTGTTGACTTGGTTTGTTTCTCTTACGGATTTCCGCTAACGCGCCTTCCGCGGATTTGACAGTCACTTCGCTGATGCTGCGTTTATTTCAGAAGTTTTATGTGAGTATTTTGTAGTGGGGCGCGCATCGTCGCTTGGTCGGCACAGCGACTAGCTGGAGCTCGGCACGATTAAGGATGAGGACCACGGCTCCTTGAAATTTCTGCAGAGATTATTCAGTTGTGATGGGGGGAGTTCGGATCTCAAATATTTGTGTGCATGTATGAAGTGGCGGATTGGTGGGGTGAGAGCCAGGCCGAAACGGCTTCTCCCTAACGTGACCTACGGCACTCTAACGCAGGTGAGATGTATGCCACCCAAATCACGTTGTGTGAAGCCCTGATGCTTGTGTTCAAAGGATTCAAGTCGTGCATGTGACATGAACAGACAAGGTCACTAGATATGCAAGTCAACGCGCACACTCCTCGCACCTGACAACTGACCGGCTTGGACAGTGGCTGGGGCTTGGAAATGGGAAGAACGGGTGAGGTCGACGACTCATCACATTCCCCCCACCACAAACAACCTGACACACTTGAGGCTATCACGGTGCGCTGAGAGCCATGGCTAGGAAGGTTCCTAGCTGAAGGAATAACTTGGACCTCGCAGTAGGCACAGTGTTGCATAGAGCAGCCGAATAGTGGTTTAAGAATTAGTATGCAATGGCTCCTTTTTAATGTGGCCTTTATGGCACATCCACTAGCACCGAAACCGACATTTACACTTCCGACTTTTCGCGCTCCCACACACTTCGGCCGGTTCGTTCACTTCTGAATTCATTGCACAGAGACTGGCGAACCAGTATCTGGAGTGCCGGCATTCACTCGACGCATCCGCCTCAACTGCCCTCACTGCACCCGCACATTCACTGCGCATGAGCCTGTTAGACCACATGCTCATTCACTAAAACCTGTGGTAGTCAACTGCTGACTACACCACCCCACTACATTCTCCCCCACCAACAACCCGCACCACACGACACCATCACCCACCGCAAGCACCCAACTGCCATCTTCCACGAAAGTGTGCGTTTCGGCTCCGTCTCCATGTTGCTCTTTCGTTGCATGTGTGATTCAAGTCTGAGACAATCATGGGGCGCCAAACGCTGTGAACTGGAAGGCTGCCGTCTGACGCCCCAAATCAGTCCACGCAGTTTGACCAGTTGCCTGTGTTTGTGTGGACTGACGAAGTGGTAGGCGGAGCGCCAGGCTGAAACGGCTCCTTCTTACAGTGACCTGTGGCAATTTCACACATGTTAGATATGCGCTGCCAAACCCCCGTTGTGTGAAATCCTGGTACTTGTGTTCGGGGGGGGGGGGCAGGCCGTGCATGTAGCGCGCGCAGACAAGTTCCCTGTATATGTCAGTCACCGCACCCATTCCCCGCACTCGTCAACTGACCGGATCGGACAGAAACTGGGGCCTGGGAATGGGAAGGGAGAGTGAGGTCGATAACTCAAAGCATTTTCCTCATTATAAGCAACATAAAGTGCCTGACGCTTTCACAGTGTGCTACAAGCCGTGGCTTCGAAGGTTGCCAACTGACGGGATAACTTGGACCTTGCGGTCGGCCCAGTTTTGTGCGTTTGTGGAGTAGTCGTCTGGTGGTTTTAAATTGAGGCTGAAATGGCTTCCTCCTGACGTGGCCTTTGTGACACTCCCACTGTAAAGAATCCGAGCCGAGTGTAGCGGCAAGTCTAAATGCGACTCCGGCCGTACCAGCCACCCTTTTGTTTTTGGTCAAAAACCTGGCCATTTGTTGTGTGGACCAGAAAGTTTGGAGTGGAGCACCAAGGTGCCAGCTAGCCCGTGCCATCCACCCGCGCCCTCCCTTTCCTCCGGTCTTCCTGAGTCTGTCTTGACACCGGCTCCAGGTGGGGAAGGAAGCGTGAGTGCGGTAGACGCGAAGCAAGTCTGCATCACTATAAACTAGATCACGCACAAGCCACCATGCCCGCCTCATCTCGATATACCGAACACGCTGGCTATCGCAGGAAATGACAGTTTAACTATCGGTAAGCGTGGGCGGGCACTTTAAGCTGTCACCCACTACGTCCTACTACAACTTCAGTTTGAAGACCGGTTCAGATAATCGAATAATTCCCAGGAGAGGAGAGTGAAAATAACTCTACATCTACCACTCCCCGGGGCAGCGGAGTATTTCTGACGAGCCTTTAAACTATGACGATTGGTTCAAAGTCGTGATTCGCAAGGCTGTCGACTGACTGAGTAACTCGGTCCTCCTCCGAGGACGTAGAATCAGGCTCAAACGGCTCTTTTCAATGTCCCCTATGCGGAATTTCCGACCGATTGAGGTCCGAGCCGTCTCCTTGTTTTTTATGAAAACGCGGTCCATCGTGGCGCATGTGCGGCATGCGTAGACGGGTTGCCCAGCTTTGTCAGCTACTGTGCCCAATCCCCTCTCCAGTCCACTCGACGCTGGGCTCGATTGCCTGGGGTAAGAGAGTGTAATAGACGCGGCGTATGCTCATTACCACTAAAAACTAACTAGCGCGCCGGTTACCATCCGTGCTTCTACCTTGTTCTACGGCACGCGGTGGTCACCGTCGTTAGCAACGGTTGGACTGCCGATTCCTAAGTCCAGTAGTACTGTCTCCGGTTGCATTCTTCCCCAAACGATAAAAGTCCCACGAAATGAGCGACTTCCCGGTCTAACTCGAATCGGCTCTCCACTAAACAGAAGTCGTGACCCATGTTTGAATTCGGCGGTTATCTGGGATGACGTGGGCGAGTTACCAATATTTACTCCCTTGAAGGAAAGGAGGCCAAAAAGGCCCTGCAATTGCGGAAAATAATGCCATATTGGTTTCGCAGCCAGAAGGTTCTGCAAGCCCTCTCTAGGGAGGATTCTCCGAACATTTGCCGGCGCAAGGGACCTTAAATGGAATGGTTTCTCGCGATGGTCAGCACCAGCTTCATCCTCAAAAGCAAACGTTTTCACTTCCAGATGCAATTAAACATCCGCTTACCAGATTAAGGCATGAACCCAAACGTTGCACCAAAGCTTCCCTGCAAACATTAAAATTTGACTTTTACTTTTAAGATCAAAACCACGAAATAGCTTGCTAATCCCTAACATAATCAATAGCAGGACATTTTAACAGCAAGGCTGAAAGTACATTAAATCATAGTAAGATTTCTGAAGACTGCGACTTGATATCGTTCATAGAACTTAATCGCTAACTTGAAGCACATAAGTCTAGATTAAATTTTTAGACTCAAACCGAAAGTTTATATGAATATTTAGGTCGAAGTCTATCAGCCACAGGGGGATAGTCGCGTAATATTCATGCATAACCACCGGGCAGCCAGCAGCTAATACACAGGTTGCGTAGCACACTACACTTGGTAACGACTAGCAGCTGCGTCGCCAAGTATAGTGCATAGTGTAACCTACGTATGCACTGATTAGAATCAGAAGCATGGAATTATATGCGGACATGTGGCCCGGCATAACTCTGGACACTGCCTCAATACGACGGTCTGAAAGTAAAGCCGACAATTCTAAGTCTGCTTAACGACTATCTCCCTGCTGAAGCGTTCTAGTTTCTGTCTTTAAAAGGGTCAAGGCGGATAGTATGATTAAAACAGAGAAACTGGTCAATGAAAACAAACGGGCGGGTTCCAGAAAGCCGTTCAGAAGAAGAAGCTGCGACCACTGAAAGAGGAAGTTTATTTGAATGGCATTTTGGATTCCAACACTAGCTCTCAATCAGAGACAATCGCAGGTAGGGGTCTGCGATGATTGGTTCGAATGGAATCCGAAACTTCATGCCAATAGACTTCTTCCAGTGATCACGTCTTCTTCCCTGGCTTCCTCTTCTTTCAAGTAGACTGGTTCTGAAATGGGTACTGCGCAATCCTGCCGGTGTGAGCTGGTTAAGTTAGTTACCTCAAAACTGAGGGTATGAGTTTGTTTAGATGTCCACAGTTCCAGAAAGCAGTCCTGTTAAAAATGCACATCTTTGATCATGAGCTTGCGCGAATCTGAAGCTAAGCTCCTTTTTAAATATTTGTATCAAGCCACCATTAAAACTACAATCGTATGATTGCTCGGTTGTATACGGTAAGAAGACAAATAGACCCGAGATATGGCAAAATTGGCAGTCATAACGAAATAAACACATAAGTAGCAAGTAGGAACTAAAGAAAGGGAACCGTTTAAAACGTTCTTCCCAGCAGATATCATCTTTCAGCCTAATTGTGACAGAAACAAAGTTCCGCATAAAAATTACAACAACATCCTACACTAACCATTTAGTGCGTCCCTGAGGCAGAAGATAGGGTGCATGGTGAACCCAATTGGTGACGCTGGGATCCGCAAGCTCTGCAACCGTCAGCGGTTCGTATTCTTCATTTTCCATAAAGTGTTCATGATGTACCTCCTCATCGTCTGATTCTTCCTCTTCCTCGTCAAAGCGATAGAAGTTCATAGGTGAAATAAGCGTGGCGGCAGTTATTCTTGCAATTTGGGCTCTCAAAAGATGCCTTTCTTTCCCGGGGAAGGGAGGATAGCTGATGATAGTTGCATCCAAGTCGCCAGTAAAGAACAGGCGGATTTTCCGTGCGCACTTTATCTGTTTTGTTAGATCACAAGAAAGCAACTCCAGTGGTTAATATGCATGAAAATACTTCTGGTTAGGGAGGACTTTCCCATTATTTGTAAAGGATAAAAACTTGCACATTGCGTTATTTAGTTGCTCAGATGAAAACTACAGTACATGACCTATCTCATGAAATCTGAAAACGGAAACTAATGAGAAAACTTTTGGACGAGTTCAACGTTAAGCATTTTGCTCGCTCATCCACCTCCTTCAATAAAATGTCCTTTTCTTGTGCAGAAATTGTGCTTACGTAATCATATCAAGTAATATATCAGTACATTTTAGCTAAAATGGACTTTGGATTATATTCGTGCAATTGCCTATGCTAATACATGTCTTAGACTCCGGTTACGCATCTGAGCGACTTTTTCATTGAAATTATAGTAATTTGTCGCAAGAGTTTTAATAAACAGATTTAGCCGAACTTGGAATTTTATTTTAAGTCCGATGCTGACCATGTTGATCAACCTGCCTGTCAGTCCTATTTAAATTTATTAGACACCGACCGGCCTCGTGACATGTCACCTTATGAAAACTTTTGATCCTACGAAATCCCCATCGGTGAAATGAAACAAAATCCAACTTTTCTTGTTGAAACCAATCTCAGTTCCTTCAAACAAATAAAAAAGGCGGACTCACTGGAAAGCTGTTTTGGAATCTGCGCTCAGAATGTGGGCAGTTGACAAACCGTCATATATGCAAAAACACTACTTATTAAGCGACGTTTAGATGTAAACTTCACTAAAACGTCGTTAATGGATGTTATTGTATGTCTATTTTTATATTTTGTACGTTTTTGATATGATAATACATTCTGTACGTCTAAAAACGAACTTTACGTAATAAAAGCCATTTCTGGCGTTTTCAGGATCTTGCGCTTTTCAAAGTAAATCGGCATTTCTAAATAACGGAACACTGCCTTTAACAATTCTTTTATGTTTGTTATTCTCTTAAACTTGTAGTTAATTAAAATATAAATCGGACTCATGATATGGTGTTAGTTCGCGAGTGATTGGCAATCATTCGAAAATCTCAACAAATTTCATGAGTTATTTCACTTACTGTAATGTTACACAAACTTAAACTAACTTATCATTATTCAAGGATTTCAGAGGATTTAAACTTTTAACGTTTTGTTCAAACTATGTCAGCCACAAAGAGCCACCCAAAAAATACTTGGTTCAGCAAAAAATGTTGCGTTGGAGTGACAAGTAAAGTCCAAACGCTGAAAATCGTAGGAATATCTTTAATCGAAGCCACTTGTGGAAAATGAAAAATTCTAACATTTTAAACCGCACTGCAAAACTTTCGGTCCCACCAGATCTGTCGATGTTTGTTCTACGTCAAGGCAAATTAACCGACAGATGCATAGCATTTGGCAGGCTAACGTATAAATGTCGTGACTGAGGAATCGGAGTTCCTTAATCAGCTAGAGATGATTTAACAGATGAGGAAGAAACAAGGTTGCATAAAGGCCCAGTATATGATTTTTGAAACTGAAGGCAGTCGACTGCTGCGTGAAACTCATACATGTAGTAGCCGAATGTCGTTTGATACTCACTTGTTTTTAATGTGTCAGCATTCTGCGTTTTACCTGATTTTTAGACCAAAAGGCTTTAAGCTGAGGAGTCACTTGACCTACAAAGTCGTACTACATTATTCGCTAAACTTGGTCTCCACGAATAGTATTTTCACCTGAATCAGTAAACGTCCTCGTGAGCGCAATACCAATCAAGAAGACGGAATTACTCGCAAAATGGACTCAAGTGACCGCAGCAGCATCCGTGGTTTTTCCTAGACCTTATTAAGTTCTAAATTCACAGTCTGCCGTTATGTCAACAAAGCGCTGCAAGTAGCCAATTTTTTGTTTTTTTTGGAGGGGAATGCAATAGGTTGCGAAAAATGGAGGTGATAAAAGGAAAAGCAATTCAGATGAGGAGGGGTCTCAAAATTCGTATCGTTCTCCATATCCAATTTACAGTAGATGTGCCAACTCATGAAATGTCAACCAAAATTTCGAAATGCTTTCTCGTTACGAAAAGATAAATTAAGTAGTGCTGTAAAACTAATCATGATGCAGCATCAATCTATAATGATCCAGTTACCTCAGTGTGTCGGCTTTTGAAAGGACTTATTTTCGGCTGCATGCAAGATCTATGCTATGCAATTTTCTCATTGATTTTCGATGCCCTTAAAAATTCAATTATATTTAATGGAAAACATGCGTACAAATATTCATTCTTTTACTTAGTAGGTAGAAAATCACGCCTTCTTCCAATTTCATACTCAAAAAAGAGTATACTCGGTTTTAAAAAAGTTTCTAATTGTGAGATTTTTTAATACCGTTAAATGGTCGTTCAGGAAACGTCATGTATCTGCATACGCGACCGGTTACACCCTCGGTAGACTGAAAGTTAAAATTGTGTACCGGCCAAGCGCTGTCATGTGCAGCAGTCTTGAAAGCCAATACACTTAACCAATAAACAATTTGATCGCTCACATTTTATGCCTAGGTTGTCACTGTAATCGTTCAGGCCAGGCTGGACGCAAACAAAGATCCTATGTACACATGTGCAAGTTAGATGTGTGACAAGACGACGAATTATCAAAACGGAGTGTCATAAATTTCGAAATAATTTGCAAATTCAATCTCTCGGTCGCTAATATAACTGTTTGGTTAAAGTGCATTGAGGTCTGTGCATCCGCTGAGATCTGCTTAACAGGCAGTTGATTGAATAGTGACCCCAAAACTTAGTTGTCGTTATTGTACTCATCTCTGATAGATTTAGAAGCTTAAACTTGATAAATGCTTTCGGATTTTGATAAGTTTATATCATCCTTGTTTAAACTATTCCTGAAATTCGTTAATCCGAATGATCGAATTTCAGGAATAGTTTATACACGAACGCGAACAAAGGTTCACCTTTGTTCGCGTTTATGTATAAATGTTCACACAATGGCATTCACTTTTCGGTACTTCTGACTGGCAGTATTTATAAATGCACGGTAAGTTAAAATAGATGGTGGATTAGCTGATCAAGTTTTGACTACCTGCTCGGGTTCCACTGCGGGCAATAATTCCCAGTCGGACCCAAACTCGCTCAACACAAAGTATGCATGCTTATTTGCTCCTTGACCTGGAGCTTCAACCGGAACGGTCGGTGGTGGTTTCCATAATGGCTTTGGCGGGCCCTCTATCGGAAATCCATTCTCATCAAAATCCAACATGTCTATTAACTCATTCCGAGATTTTGTTTTTGATGTCTGAAGGACGTCCGAATTTTCATCTCCAACAGGCCACGCCTGAAAATCCTGGGCTTCAGCGATATAATAAGATCTCTTAAAGCCAAAAATTTTCCCCCAAAATCGAATGTGTTCCGATGGGTACTTGTTCAGCAGTTTTTGGAAATGCATTGAAAGAAGTATGCTTTCGTCCGTTGAAAATCCTAAAATAACGTTATTTAAATAGGTAGATGATACCTGTTTCCGCATTGTTAAGAATATGATTCAAGTGAATCAGATCGGGTTCCTTTGACTTAAAAGGCGTGTGGATGTGCCTCTCTGATATCACCTGATATATTTTATTGCTCATTTGTTACTTAATTGTCATTACCTCGTTGTAAATTGTTTGGAAAATTTCAGCAAAGAAAACTTCGTCAGCTTTCTCCTTGAATTCCTTTACTCTATCTTTTTGCTCGATATGAGAAAATTGCACAAGATTGGTGAAGTGGTCCATGTTTGAAGGCCCACATTCGCTCTTAAACTTTAACAGGTGTTTCAACAGTGAAACCATTTGCTCATATCTGAATTCACTAAATTAAACCACAAAAGCTTACAAATTCTCCTTTGGGCCACATTTTACGGATGATAAAAGAGCTTTTGCATTTTCAATTGCCTTATCTGTCGGCTGAAGATCCGCTGGGTCGAGGTTCATGTTAGAAGCCGCTTGACTCGTAATCATGACAATTACATAATATTCAAGGTCTAGGTTAAGCATTTAAGAAGTAAAACAAACCCAAAGTGGCTAAGAAGAATAAATGAATAATTGCATGTATTGTGTATGTATATGTATTGCATGATGTATATCTCCATTGTGTATCGTGAGGACCACTCCATACCTACATCTAGGTGGACAAACGATGGAAGTGCAATTGCGAGCTAAATCGAATGATATTCGGCGCTCCGTAAATACCATTGTAGGCCCAGACACAATAAACGACATCGAAATTACCTATTTTGTTATTTTTATAATAAGTCCTTTTATTTTGCTTCATGCGTACATACTAACGGTTTACAGGCGAGTTGTACCATTTATCTGCCTCTCCGAATCGGAAATGCTCCCGATTCGTCTAAGCAGTAGGACAACGATCTTCATAGTACTGTTAGCTTCTGCAGCCACATATCTAAGTTCATGCATTTCTGAAAACTGTGTTGAACCCCTTCAGGGAGATTAAGAGAATATTCAACTATACTAAGCGTACTATGAATAGCAAGGTCATATAATTTGTGAGTTAGGACACCGGGCACCCGACAACTACACAAAAGACCATAAAAGGAGCAAGATAAAAATAACGGGAATATATCGCGATCCATATGGGGAGCAGATGAATGTAAAAAGCGCAAATGCATGTTGGAACTTTTAACTAATTCATCAATGACGAAAACGTCCGGTGTTAAACAACTAGCACGCCCAAAACTACAACATGCATTTGTTCAAATAAAATGCAATAAAATAAAACAGAAATGTCCAAAAATTGAGGAAGAGTAAGCAATTGGATATTGCGAATTAATAACTTGTTGAAGGGTGAGCATTATTAACCCAATTTTTTTTTATCAACGCTTGGAATAACGAACGGAATCGCACTGCACGATTCTGGTTAATGGAAATTGTGTACTGTTGGCTGAAAATAAATTGCCAAGTACGGTGAGTTACATTACAGCAGGGGCTCAAAATCTTTTTTGTCTTAACTGGCACAAGGCAATAATTTTCTTCGCCTCTCTACAGCCCATTTCATGTGCACGCACACATTCGTCTGAGTATTATCTGACCTGCCTGCATGTGCACACGCAGATAAAGCCACCTCTGTGGCTGCATATAAGCTAGTGTGTGGGACGGACAATGCAAAGTTAGGCCTATTTTCACCGCAAAGCCATGAATGTTTGATACCTTATGCCTGGTAATCCTCTAGACATAAATTAATTTCCCAGACCTGTTGTTTCTGGTTGGTTCTATAGTTTGTCTTATCAGGAGAGACTGAATTTGCTTGGCTTATTCCCCCTCTCTTATAGACAAATAAACTGCAGTTTACTTTGGACGTTCCGCGGCCAGGGTTGCTCATTAAGAACGGAGGACTTCTTTGAGTTAGCCCGTACAAGCCAACTACACGGCCATGTCTACAAAGTCAGGAATGAGCGCACTCGGTTAGACCGTCGAAAATTTTCGTTCAGCCAGCGGGTGGTCCGACCGTAAAACTCGCTTCCAAGCCAGATGGTGGAGGCTGACACAATCTGTATGTTTAAAAGAAATCTTTCCCGCCTTGTTTTCGACAGAAATCGACTTTTACAGCATGACTACGAACACCCAGTTTTGTAAAACGCTGTCATATACAATCCCTCCGAACCAATTTACAGTGACCTTATGCGCTTCCTTTTGATTACTATTGAACTGTGACCCGATCACCTTGTAAATGCTTGAAATTTTATTTTTGACTACGAGTCTGCGAAAGCACTGTGCATAAATAGGGTCATCAAAGGCTCTACCTCTAACCCTCCAATATATACATACATATACATACATGCATTACCATGCAAGGCTTGATGTTTTGCGCTGGAATCTTTCCGATATCTAAAGGCCAGGCTGAGGTGAGGAACGATTTCTGTACGAAGTTGGTAGATTGGGGACTATAAACATTTGTATGCAGAATCTGAAAATCGCATCTGGGAGTCTAAAAACGTATTTGAACCATTGCGTTACTTTCATCGATTCGTTGTGTTAGGTCTCCGTTAAGTTAGCAGTTGTCGAAATTCCCATTTGCTCAGAGAAGACAGCATGCGGACTCACTTTATCTCGCAAGCCTAATTCCACACCCAATATAGGCTATTTACGAGAACATCGATCGCATAGCGTTGATTGAAAAATTCCTACAGTGGGCCAGGACATCGACCTGAATAAGACCTGCTGTCAGACGATTCCAGATAATAAATGGCCTTTTCTGTTTATGTGCTGATTTTATCCATTCTTCTGAAGGCTTGTTGATATCTAACTTCGTGAAAATGACTTTTCTGCGGTTCATTTAGCCTGTGTTATTTGTTCGTTAAAAAGTATCTATTTTGCATGTTTATTCCTGCCAGTCGGCGTTCAGCGGAACCACTTTATTGAAAATCTCATCCGAGCTACCTTCGGAGTCGCTTCCAAGCAAATGCTTTCGAAAATTAGCTTTCGAAGGAAAATCACATTCCGCATTAATGGTATAATTGCAAGATCCTGGCACAGTTTCCTTTAGCTGGCCAAGGTACCGCTAAGTACAACTGGTGGCCCAGACCGTTTCTGCCTCAAGCGAATCATCAAAGCCCACTTCAAGGCTAACGGGCACACGGGGTTTGGCAGAGGTTTTTGTCCGTAGTAGACTTGCGCAACATTTATAGTACTCTCTCCTCCTGCCCCACATGGCCCCGGTGCCAAGACACGGGCAAGAACACTGCAAGTTAGAGAGGGCGCAAGGGACTGGCACGGCCGGACCCTCACCTGGGCACATCATCACATCTCCTAGTCCACAACAGACAATTGACCATGGTTTTAACGAGCAGTAAAAACGGGCCAGAAAGGGTAGAGGATGAGACAAGTCATCGGAAAGCCATGTGCAAGGCCTGTATTCCTAGCGAGAGCATAAGCGCATTAACTGTCATAGAATCCGGGACCGAAGAACTGTCAACGCAAACCAAACCGCGAAGACCTTGGTTTGCTAAATTTTGGCATAGCAGACACATAAAAATCTTAAAGCCCAGAGAGTGAGAAGCAGTCCTGTATTTAGCCCGGGTCACCACCCTTCAAAGTCCGAGTAACCAGTCAGCCATAGACTGGGATTCATTGCCCATATAAACACACACTCCTCACACACGCGGGAATGCCAGAGATTACGTTGAGAAGGAACCGTAACAGTTTGGCTTTCGGTCCACCAGTTCGCCACTCCATACAATATACACGACTAGGCAGATTGTGTGGAAGTAGTTGAAGCGTCAGGCAGCAACCTTCCCCAGCCACAACGCTTGGTGGACCGTGGTAGTCTTGGCTTTGGATCATACACGCGGTAGAGGGGCCACATGGAGATGGAGCCGAGAATCACACTCAACCCTTACGTGGGAGGTGTTAACTGTGAACTTGTTTTGTGTGCTTATGTATATGTTAGTGTGCGTTGCAGACGTTCGTGAGGAGAAATTTGATGGCGCGGTATAACCGGCAGTGATTCACCGCGAGCTTTCATAAATGTGCATCTGGCTTAGTAGACCCATGCCGTGGCTGAATGTGCGGGACAATGCAGGCTGTTGTAGCGAGTGCGTCTGGTGTATGTTAGCACTCTAGGCGCTGGTTTACCACCTTCCATACGATGGAATCGCAAATGCTAGACCAGCCCGATGTGTGATGTGAATGTGCGGGGACAGCGTTGACAAGAGAGGTCGTGGGTGTCAGAGGTGGATTCGGTGGTAATGGTGGTAGAGCTGCTGTTGGCTGCGCGTCCCATGATGAGGTTTTGACTGGGCTAGGCATGTTGAGTGTGAAAGATGTGCTGTGTGTGTCGGATAGTGCGGCGAATTCCACTGTAGTGGAAACTCATTTGACCGAGTGGTCCATGTGACAAATAAATATGATTGGTTAGTGTTGGCAGTTAAGACGGAGCGGGGGAGTACATGTGAATGTTCCAGGAACTGGCTCATCAGTATCTATACAAGTTGCTCGCAAGAGACCTATTAGGTCGATGCGTGAGATATATGTGCAATCGCAATGAGGACATCGCTGGAGGTGGGGGTGACTGGCTTTGCCCATCCGTCGGGGGTAGCCGTGCTTGTAGATATCAGCTGGGATTGAACTGGAGACTTGTGCTCTACCGCTGGAGAGTTGTTACATGACACGAATAGTTTCCAGAAGGGAGGTCGAGAGGTCCAGGTCAATGCTGATTCCTACATGGGGGAGGCGGTTGATGGCAGCGTCGGAGATTATGGAGGAGCGCTTGATAACGTTTCTGAAGTGCTCAAAACAGCGCTCCGGAACCTATGGCTTCTTTGTCAGAAACGTTGATTCATCAGAAGTGAGTGGCGAAACGGCTCCTCTCATTAGGGGCCGCAGATCGCCTTGATAACATCGAAGAAGTTCTTGAATTCATTTCGGCCTCCCTATCCCTGGATCCCTTCGAGATTGCGAGCTATCCAGGCGCCCTGCATTCCTCGTAATATTGGCTGCGAAAGGCCCATTGTTTTCAATGGATTCCTTCGCTGGATCCGTGAAAACCACTCACGGTGTTCACCCACGAATGCAGAAGTAGGTACTCAACTTCTACATAACGCTTCAAGTGCCGAACCAGTCTACATGGGGAGAAATAGAACCAAGGAAGCTGTTAGATACTGCTTGTCAATCCAGTGGCTAGATGGAGTTCGTTAAGGAAAGTAGGCCAGTTTTTACAAACACTGATTTCCCTCGTAGTGTAAACTGCGAGTTTTTCATCATCCCCATCATCAGCATCA